GTAGTAGTAGTAGTAGTAGTAGTAGTAGTAGTAGTAGTAGTAGTAGTACGGTCTAAAATGTGACATAGCTACCACAAGTTTAATGATATTTTTAATGCAAATTTAATAATGTTTGAAATTATGAAATTAACTTAACTGTGTAAATGATAAATTCATGAACTGAGAGGAAGAAGCTGTCCTTATCATTTACGAGTAAATAATGCTTACAAATTGCACTAAACATTTGATATTTTTGGTTACAAATATAAAACAATATTATAAATATCAGTACAAAAGATGCTAAAAATGCTTCTGTAAATATTTGTCATTAAAATAATTTTTTGAGGTCATACAGTCATGGAATGAGTTTTTAAGCTGTTATGGAATAGAGAAATTCCTTAAGATGGTAACAGATGCTACAACAAATATTTATGGTTCATGAAACCTAAGTTATTGTGTACACTATATTGTGTAACGATGAAGAGAAGTCGAACCATTCCCCATGATCACATTTTATGTTGATAGCTGCATGATCTAAAGTATAAGCTGTTTCATCAACTGTTATGTACAGGCTTTGGGCTGACAGCTTTTAGCACTGCATGAAAGTACACATAATTCCTGTGAATATTTTATGACTCAATAATAGCACAGCTTTTACAAACATAATGTGTCTGCCCTGCTCATGCTCCCAGTTGGTATGTGATTCAAGTGACAATGACTAGAAATCATTGCAAGCTATCTGGCTACAAGCAGCTGCAAACACAACACTGCATTCCAGAATCTGACATCAAAATGATACAGTTCATTTTATATAATAAAGTAAATGCTTCAAATTTACCTCACAGGAAAAAAGAAATACATAGTAATTCAAACAATGATGAAGACTGCTCCACTGAAATAAGAAAATATTATTGGTTCCAGTCCAGGTATCTGTAACGGTATCCTGGCTCTTGAAAGCAATCCCACATAATCTTAAGAGGCTTCAGAGAATTCAGCATCAACCAACTGTGAGCTCACAAAATTGTTCAGTTCACTAATTTTAATGACAAATTTAAACTGTGAACAAATAATACAGAGAGTTTACAATTTTTGATATTATTTTCAACTACAAAGATTATAATCTTCAATTTAAGATGCAGAATTTGATATTATTCCTGCAAGAAAATGAGTGAAAATTTGCACTAATGAAGTAAACGCACGTCACACATCTGACACTAGTCAGAAATTGACTGGATATCAGCACTTTTCCAAGGAAACTGTGTTAAGGTTTCAGAAATTAAAAGCTGAGAAATACCATGAGATTAAAACTTGGCACAGCTGTAGAGAGCAGGCAAAATTAAATCTAAATAGCCAGAATTGCTTACATGCTGTATTCCATACATTTGCACTTAAGAGATTCTCAACTCTGTAATATTCATCAAACTAGACACACACACACACAATAAAATTCACTTGTCATTTGGCCATTAGTTCCCAAGTGAATTAAAGTTCTTTCTAGAACTGCAAAACTGTTCATCCTCAGTTAAAAAAAAACTCTCTATATATTAATATACTATTAATATTCTGCACTATAGCACCATTCAAGTTATATACCCTTTCACTATCTGTTAGTTGGAGAAAACTTTAGTGAAAAAGATGAATAGAAGAACATGTTTCACAAAAGAATATTAGGTTAAGATATAGGGATATATATTGTCATGTGCCACCAGGAATCCAGAATGTATACTTCCTTGGGAATGCAATACCAGTGGGTTGTTGCCAAGGAATACCTTAAGCACTATATTCCGTCCGAGACCAGGTTATAAAAGTCCAGCTTCAACAAGACCAGTCAGGTTTTTAGTTGAGTTCTAGAGGTTGCTAAGAACATTTGAAGCTTGTAGAAGTCAGTCTACAGCTGGCTTCAAAATAATAACTGTGACTGTGAATAATGGTACTTGAATGTGTAGAAGTGAGCGTCCAATAAATATTCGCGAAACCTGAGAATTTATTTGTCGCGTTACATAGGCAACACCCGACAATATTATGTTTTATTAATTTACATATGGATGCAAATGTGTGACAGATTAAAATTCTACTCAACAAAAAACAATTAAACTGACTATTTCTATAAAGTAAATAAACAAATGGCAAGATGAAATCCAAATGATCTTTCATTATACTCGAGCACTCTTTTAACTGTAATATTTCTTGACTAAATATCTCATATTGTTCAACCAGTAACCACGTCTCTAGTCCAGGGATGACACTGAAATTATGTGCTTTGTTTTCCAACTCAGAGTACCATGAAAAACAATTCACAACTCTCATTTGAGTGGTCAAGAATCCTTTACTATTCCCAGTATATTGACACTATCCTTGCAACTCCATCAGAACAGTACCAGCTAATAGCTAAAAGAAGTGTTCTAAAAGGTGAAATATTGCAGAACTTTCTAAAACCAAACAGAAAACTCTTTCCTTCCCCTTCTACAGTTTCATTTCACTACATAAAATATGAAGAAACTTCCATCTGCAATATGAAACAATAGCTCAGCCAAAAGAATTTATGGCAATAAGATGGAATTCTTCATTACTGATCACAGCATCCGGAATTTATCATCAGTCCTCCATATAACGGATTTATTGCTAAGTCAAGAATGAACACACAACAGTCATGGCTTCTGTCCATGTTTTACAAGGCACAGAAATAGCCTCCTTTTACCAGATAATACACATATACAAGATTCTTCAGCAGTTCATTTTCAAATAATTTACATATACAATTATTGCTTTTATTACTGCAAAAATATGCTAAATTTTATAAATGTCCATCAAGTACACAGTAGTCATGTGTCATAACTGTAATAAAGTTTCAGTTTCCAGGAAATTCCTTTACCTTGAAAATATATTGGTGTAAATACAGAATAAATATTCACAAAATTGGAATTTATCTAGAAAGAAATATCACTTTACCTTTAAATACTAATATTGTTCATAAATACTATTATAAAAGACAAAATGTTACATAAAATACAAATAAAAAGAATTTCAGGGTCATGGTTATAAATAAATGTTTAGTTGACTTTAAATTTACATCTTCAAAGAAGCAGCATCCTAACACATATATTTTAAAAGAACTTCCACCTCACTCATATCTGAACTCAATATTGTTCAATACTTCTGGAAGGATAGGCAAATATAGAAAAGTTTACACTCTAATAAAAAAGTGCTGTTATTCTTGCTAATATAACAAATACTAATTCACAACAAACAGTTCAACTGATTGTCATAAATATTTAGAATGTAAATGATGTAGGGGCCAGTAACAAAGGCACACTTTGTAAATCATTACTTTTGTCACCATATCTAAAACAGTTTTGAATACTGGGGTACAAAAACATCAGAAGGTTAGTAAATGCCTTTGAAATTAATCCTATGGCTTCAAACATTTCTTATTCAAATTTAGGTAAGGGGTAAACACATAAAATTATTTTAACTCTTTCAGTACCACCTTTGTGAATAAACTGCAACTTCCTGTGTCTGAAAATCACATTAAATATCACACACACACTATCAGGGCTGTATTTGAAAAGCAAATATTTTGCCATTATAAACACAACATATTACCCCACATCTGCAAGACTAAAAATAAACAGCTAAAGGAATGTACTGAATATATAAGACTAAGGTAATTAATGAGCTTAGATAGGAAATTATGTTACAAATTACCATGCATTTACATACGAGTGAATTTCAATTCCCCACCTGCCCAAGTTCATGAAAAGAATATCACAATCTCAGTTTTAATACAACTTACATCAATATGTGTACATGTGTTTTCTTGCTGGTTAATGGTTTTCACAAACATCCTTCTTTAGCATTACTGGACAAAATCTATTCAATGTATATAATCAACAAGAATCACTGCTGTTAGAGAATTTTATGAACTCCAATTGTATAGCGTTTCAACAGCAGACTCCTGTGTTTTGAGTAGGACAGAATATCCATCTGAAATCATGCATCATGCAGAATCACTTTCATATTATTCCAGTACATATTAAATTGTGATTAGCATTTCAAATGTTGATGCACAGCATTGATGTTAACAACAAAAATTGTGACATATAAATAAGTTCTATCTGCAAATGTACTAACTTTTTGCAGGTCATACATGGCAATCCATGGCAGTAGCACCCAATTTCAACATACTTGATGATGGCCAAATAGGCTGAAGCATGTAGCGCAATGACAAATTTTAAAAGGACTGAATTTTAGTTCTTGTTATTGTTGCATGGTGGACAGTAAACAACTACAAATAAATCTATTACAAAATATTTCCAAGTTCAGTAATGGCTTTATAATAGGTCTATTTCATATAGAATATGTTTCCCTGCATCAGTAAACTGGATGCATAAATATCTATCACATAAGTTGGATGACTTGAATATGGCAATAAAACCCAAAAATATTAAGGGCTGGAATTACTCCAATGATTGCTAGTAACTAATTTTCATAAGCAGCGTTTAAAAGAATAGTTCATCAAAACAATAAACAATCTGAGTAATATTTTTGCAATATCCTGCATGTAGAAAGTATTAAAAAATGTGTAAATAAAAATCTTATTGAAAAGCAAGCACACGTTTTACATGCACTACTTCACATGAAATATATGACATACCTAAGGCAAAAATGTATACCTTAAAGTAATTGCATCCCATTATTCTGCAAGGAAGATGTGTTGCATTTCTAGGTTAGAATTACTCTGGTTTTGTCTCAGAAGTTCAATTTGTATCTTGCACCTAAAATAAGGAAGTTTTGTTAATTTTCATTCTAACATTTACCTGCACCCAAAAAGCTCCTTCCATTATATTATATAAAATACGTCACTGTATATGCAACACATCCTCCTATAACCAACCTTTTGCATCTGCTATAACCACTATTTAACATCTAAATGTGATGAGGTTGAGTGTTATCTAGGATCAAGTATGGTATCCGTCTGTCTGTTAGTTCTCTGGGCTACTATTTAAGCTGTTGAGAAGATCATCTTCACTGTTATTCCTGTTGCTCCACTTGCGTTTGTGTTGGTCCAAGCCAAAACCTTCCTCATAGTTTCCCTTCGCAATAAATAACTGTTTGAAGTGAGGAATGCAGTAAAGTTTGCCATTGTTCAAAGTGTATGTCTCCATTCTGACGGGCAGAAAAGTTACATTTTTAGTATACACACTCTTTGTTTCAATTCACAGTTCAATGTAAAGAAGTCCACATTTTGGCTGAAACACTTACGGAGAGAATGAGGATATAACACAACAAGACTGAACTGACACAACGGGAATCTGTTTGTAGAAATGATCTCATCACTAATATGCCCACAAAATGACCATGAAGGCACACTGAGACAACTCAATAATTTCTGAGTATTAGAATTAAAATTTACAAGAGAAATGAGACAAAGAAGGAAAGGCAAACCACTGGGGCATTACAAACCTTCTTGCGGTTTTAGCAATAGATTACATGAAATATCAAGTCAACTTTTATTTTGACGTAATAGAAGTCGTCAAGAGAATGAGATGCCAGGCATAGAATAATTAACATTAAAAATATGGAGGCTTATCAAATGGAAGATGCCACTAATCACCAAGGCTTGTGAATCTATGAAAGCAATGTTGCTTGCTACAATTCACTGTGGAGCATGTCTAAAACTACAAGCAAGAAGATTTAAGTGAGGTTACAGATCAATAGATTTGTAATCGGGTGATAAACTGAAGGGCCAAAGGTGGCATCTGCAAAATGTTTTAAATGTTAAAATGTTAATTTTTATTTGATGACTGTTGATGACTCAGAACATCACAATCAGTAGAGATTTTCATATTATTTGTGCTCAATAAGCTGGTTGGGTAATGTACTCAATTTGGGGAGATGGAAAGTCAACCAACAACATACAAAACTGACAGAACTCACTATGAAAGGAAACAGAAGCATTGTGAGAATTCCATTGTGTTTCAGTCAGTAATAGTGTTATATGTGCAAGTACTAACTTTACTTCCGCTTACAAAGCCCTAAAACATGACAGTTCTATTTTTCTCTACTAACACTTTCCTGATTTATGAGAAGTACAAGAGATTTTTCTGTCAGTTACTTTGAATGATGACCATAATTATTCATACCTCAGTATGCAGTTACACTGGAGACACCTGAAGCACTGTTTATGAAGCAATTTGCCCCCTGTTTCCACCTTCTCAAGTGGGTAGACTTTTTTTTCACAAAATGAACAAAATTCCGCACATGTTGTTTGGATTTCCTGCAAAAATAACAATACCCATAAAATATTCAGATCTTTTATCTTTCTGGAGCTAACCAACATTATTAAAGAGACAATTAAATACTTATGGTTATAGATTAACTAAAATTTGTAGACTGCATAACTGACGTTATCTGATTTTGATATATTTTTCTGTAATGTGTTTTATAATCCTTTCTTCGGGCACTCAGCACTATTTTGGTTCACTGTAGCTGGATTACAAATAAGATAAATGTAGTACAGATACCTTGACAAAGATTCAATGCATAAGTGTCCTATAAAGGCACAATAGATCACTGTGGTCACAGTGCAAGGGTCAAGAAGGCCCACCCCTTATACATTCAAGTGTCCTATAATTTCAACCATTTCCTCTGGTATTAAATTTGGATAAATCATGTTGAGATATGTGATCAACAAAGATTAAGCATGGTATGTTTTCTAAGTTTCCTCCCATTTTCTCTGATATTCAATGCAACATCTCTCTGTCTGTGATATGATAATTATTCGATGAACATATTGCGTTGTAGCAGTGCACTTCATTTGCACAGCACTAGCCCCTGGGCATGTTCATAAGAACTGAAATTCAGCTGCTGCAACTCCACCTTGTGCTGCTGAAACAAACTGTCACACAACATTCATCCAATATATACGAGTAGTATTACTATACAACCATCAACACAGCAAATTTGTAATAAATAAACAAATATTACTCTATTAATATTTGTTTATTATGTACACTTGTTACATGTTTCCATTCAACTGGATCTCCATCAGGCAAAACTCATGAAATGTACTAATATTTTATTGCATTATTAATGTGGGTCCATATTAGTGGTCATTACAATTCTTGTGTTTCATTACATTTGCATATTAGTCTAATGGCATCAAAAAAGAGAAAAAAGAAAATAACATGCTCCATTTACATGAGGAAACCCACTAAGTAATACGTACATAAACATTTACACCATGCCATATTCATTCATTCATATATTAGAACATATATAATGTTTTCAGGTGCACACAATAACTAAAACAGAGGGCAGACCCCCAGAAAATCCCTCTACTCTATGATACATCAAAGACTGTAAAAATAATTTAATTTTAATTTCTAACTTTTTAACTTCTGAGTTACAACATTTTACATTTTAAGTCTAATATCCAAACCTAATTAACACACAAGAATTGTAATGAAGTTATATTTATGACCACTAACATGGAACCAAATTAGTTACAATATCCAATACGAGGAGCACATTTCATGAATTCTGCCTGATGACAATCCAGCTGAACTGAAACATGTAGCAAATGTAACACTGGTTCATTTACTAGGAATTTGTTCTGTTGACAGTTGTACAATAATACTACATAGTAATACACAACAGGATGCAGACCATAAGGATTCATTCAATATGCTACACAGAAATGTTACCATTTAAAATCTGCCATCTATTCTGTAGACCATCAACTTTAGGGGTCTCATAATATCAGGATTAAGGTAGCAGGCTTTTGTTCATATAGTTTCATGTTCAATCCCCAGCTGGATCTGACTGATGACTTTCAATGCACAGATCAAAAAGCATTCATCTTTGGCAAAGCATAAACAATAGAAATGAATAGCACAGCACATATCCGCTGTCTGAAGTTCATCTTACTGGCCATCATTTTTTAACTCTCTTATCACTGGCAGTAGTACAAGCTTTATTAAGGATCCCAGATCAAAGTCTTTCAACCCACTAAGTAGATGAGTACAGAAGACTGACAACAGTGTAACTAGTGGCATTTTACTTAACATTCCAGACTATTTCTATTAGGCTTAGGATGATAATAATAATAATAATTTATTTAATACTCATACTGTGACATAGGCACACACATTCCACATGTTATACATCACGTCCTAAAAGAATTAGTCCATGAGAATGTCTGATTGTACTTTGAGCCTAACTAATGATAACATATATTAAGCAGTACTTGAATGTGGTAAGATTTGATGTAAGCAGAAGCACAAAAAAATGTATATGAAATTTATTATATTATAAACCAGAGGATGGATGTCTTAGGCTGAAGGGGAAATTGACAGAGATTCACAGAAGAATACAAAGCTGATTTAAGTTGTATCACATGATAAAATGAAATGCTGAATAATGTCATGTAGTGTTGTACTTCCAACTGAATTTCTCTCAGCACAGTATCTGTAAAAATACACTATATGTTAATTATCTACTAGGTGAATGTTTTATGATAAAAGGACTTCAGAATTCAAGAACATTCTAAAGTGTTTAATAATTTGACAATTTTAATATTTAACATTTTAAAAATGATGTATATGATAGCATTATTCTCCAATATACCAAACTTACAAAACAAAATACACTCTTCTGGGATGCGGCGCTGTGTAGATATTGTAGGAAACGCGGAGCCAACAAAGCGACGTTTCCACTGTTATAACAAAGGGTTCGTTGCCTAACAGCAGGCAAGGTTATAAATAGCCCAGCTTCAGCGAGAAAGAGTCAGTCTCGGAAGAGCCAGCTAAGAAGCCAGCCGTCATCAAGCCTCCGGAGAAGAAAGTCTCGGGCCAGCCTTCGGAGAAGAGAGTCCAGCATCTCGCCGAATATTGAGAGCAGTGATTGTAACACTGCAAGTGCAAATGACTGTAAAGAGTGTGTAAGGCGAGCGATAAGAATAAACTCGCTATATCAAAGAACGGCGTGAACTTACTTGTCGCGTTATACACCCAACACGTGACAATATATTGTTAACCAACATTTCAGAAGAATGTATCACCTCCATCATCAGGGTATAAGAAATCTGTGAGCAGGCGTCTGTAGACCTCAGATCTTACAAAATACACTCACTGCAAACAGTGGCCAATGCAAGGGGACAGCAGTGGAGACAAAAATGAATGTGTATACCTGATGATGGTTGAAAGGCCAAAACATAGAGTAGAGAATTAATCTATATAGTGCATCTATACAGAAGCTCTGACTACAGAAATAAGCACAATTAGAAAAGGAATATTAAACAATGCAAAACAACAATCCATAATGTATTTTAAGCTGAAAACAACACATAATCCAATACTGAAAGATCCGACACTTGAAACAGAAAGCAAAAGCAAAATCAAAGAAATGAATATGACATTTCTTTGAAGTACTGACAAAAGGACAAGAAGGAATAAAACTAGAAACAAAATTCTTAGAGAAATATTTGAAGCTGAAAATTTGTGAGCAAAATTAAGACAAATTATTACAATAATCTGGCATATAAAAAGAATGGATAGAACATAGATAACAAAAAAGGTCGAGTTAAAATGTAAAGTAACGAACCCTGTGGAATTTCTCATAACACTGGACAACAGCAAGATGAGGGGAAAGCGCGTTCGAGTAAAACAGCAAAGAGAGGAAAGAGTTGACAAGAAATCGAAAGGCTGGAGTTTGGAAAGAAAGAAGAAAATGTTTTGTTCAGTGACCTGTATAAAATGGAAACACTGCTTGAAGAACAAGAGGATGAGCAAAATCTGCAGGATGTCTTATGCTGACTCTATAAAAAGAGATTTAGATATATTTATTATTCTTGTAAAAGACAACAAACATCGTTCTCAAGTAATTCTGAATCAAAAATTTTATTTCGTACATGGTTTTACACATGATAAAACAGTGGACATAGAAAACATTACAAATAAGAGAAATAAAAATACATACTTTACAAATTATTACTTTTAGCTTTCTTGTATCTAAATTCTGGGGCTCAGTGCAAGAATTGCATAACTGACAGAACTTGGGAAAAAAAATATATATAATCTGGTCAAGACTATTTTGAAGGCTCCATCTTTCACTAAGCAATTAGCATTGCAGCACTGAGTACCATATTCTGCCAGTCAATAAGAGAAGATTTATTTCGCTCTTGCACACTGCTAAAACTCCATGCAAGAATCCCACACCTCTACACTTTCAACAGAATGGCAGATGGAAGGACTGTGAATATCAGCCAGTAGATTAGAATATGTCTGCAATCAAATTAGCCAGAACAGAACACCAGAAGACAAACGAGGAAGGCAGTCAAACAAATCACACCATATACATTTTAAAGGACTCTGATGATGATGAATAACATTCAGAATTTCTGGGTTTTTGGGCTTTGTCCATCATCAGGTATTCTAAACACCAGAGAACACAACGTTCTGAAAACTGGATGTTTCCATCTTCAGGTGAGAGGGAAAACACCTACACTGTTGGGTCTCTCTGAAAGACCTAACCTCAGGCACTGGACCTAAAGAGTGACTGAGGTTAGCTCACATCGTTTCAAAAATTGGATCTGTTTTTGATCTCATGTGAAGGGGGAAAAACTGTGTTGGGCCCCTTTGGTGTCTCCTCCCTCACCTGAGGATGGAAACAGATCCAGTTTCCAAAACACTGTGTTCTCTAGCTATTACAATACTGGACAAGGGACACATTCAAAAAAACCATGTAAATATGAAATCACACCATACACCTGAAGTTAGGCTAGATCAGATACTGAATTTCATTTCACCTTTCCCAAAATATAAATCACACTAAAAATGATGGCATAGGCCATTCAGGGACTAATTATCTCAAATATTGACAACAGAGGAAACTTATCAGATGTGTTCTGACCATATGACGGGCAAGTTGGAGGAACCTGCGATATCAACACTGTTTTCACAAGTATTTATTATACACTTAAAACTTCATTTTGGTCACCCAAGGTTATGCATACATGTGTTCAATTAGAGATATTAATCACAAAACAATAGCTGAAGAAGATAAGATCTTCACCTGTGAAGAGCTCGATCTGTCCACAAACAAATTAGAGCAAATAAAAATGATTCTAGCACACGCTGTAACAGTATCGATCTCCAGCAGATCTTACCTACACATCATCCCAACATTAATGTGGTATTTTATTGCAAACAACTTTGACATACATTTTGGAATCTGAGATATAAGTGGAAGTTATATGGCAACGTCATCAGAAAAGAA